CCCCCCCCCCCCCCCCCCCCCCTCCTCCCTTCCTTTGACGTGCCTGCTCAGATACCGGTGGGCACGGGGACGGACTTCGTAGGCATGGTGGACTTGGTGACCATGACTGCCGTCCTCTACCAAGCGGGAGCCGACGGCTTGGGGAAAATGCGCGCATCGGCCAGGTAAGACCAGGGTTTTTACAGGGCGTAAAGAACGCGGGGCCCGTTTGTATAAACAACGAAGGGAGAAGTTTCACAGTGAGAAGGGGAGCAGGGGGGCCAACCTCGACCCACGCCCCCCTGCGTCTTCTCACCAATCACCGGGGACATCTGTGTCCTGCTACCTCTGTTTCGACAGGGAAGGGGGGCGATTTGGCGTTCACACCGCGCCGACCAGCCTTCGTTCCCCTTATCTCGGCCCCCGCTGTGTTTTTTTCTGAATGAGAAGGTTCGTGCGATGTGTCAACCTCCTGTTGCGAACGGCTCAGCACTCCGGTATCATTGCGACTATTCTTGCTGGTTTTTTTCGTCAAGATTAACTCCGCTGTAATGTCTGATTTCTTCCATGGGCTGCACGCAAACGAACTTAACCCAACAAGACATGCACGCGCGTGCAGGGATAGCGTTACCTTCGTGACGCTGCCACTTGACCACGCCAACGACATTTTCCCGGGGACGGTGAAGCGGGCAAACGCGGCGAGGCAGGAACTGCTCTGGGCCCTGGCCGATGCGGACGAGGTGAAGTATGATTTGGTCGCCAGCTTGTCATCAGTACCCGGTGTGTGGGTACATTCATGGCCTTGATCGATCACTTTTTGTGCTTGAGATACATGCTGCACCTCCCCCCCCCCGACCTCGGTGGATAGAAGTCTGCAATATCACCTCGTGCTTGAAGGACTGAACACATTTTCACACACCAGTGCTGCTGCAGAGATAGACGAGCCAGGGGGAATCGAATCTAATTATCTTCCCCCCATTTCCACCCCCCCGGTGTTTGACATCGGGGTTGGGTTTTCGTCGCTTGGCAACGACGTTGTAAAACAAGCCCCCCCCTCGGTGCTCACTCCGCGCAAGGGGGATGATCGCACCACGTTGTGTTAAAATGGTCACGCACCCTCGAGGCAGTTACACAGTGCTTACAACTGTCTCAGGAGGTCAAAGCACCAGAAAATAAATTAAGTCATACGCAGCTGTCATCCGTACGCAAGGAAGTAAGCACAAGATGCCGAACACCCTTAGCAGGATGCAGCGCACCCTTCATGCGACTCGCCGAATTTCTCACGGCGCTTCGCGCTTGGTGATGTGAGAGCCTGGTCCGGTGAGAACCCGGCGTGCTCCGTCCCGGCTTTGTAGGGATGCGAGGTCAATGGTCTAACGACTACGGCTATGAGTACACCCCCCCCATCTCCCCCGACGGTGATGGGACAGGGCCTCTGCAACAGCGCTTAATGTCCGCGCCTCGCTCTCGGGGAGGCAGCACCGGTCTAACTACGTTCGTTTCTGTTTGTTATTGCTTCCCCCCGCTCACCGCACCGTTTTTTCCACTTCGTGGTTGTGACCGCACGCTGGCGTCTCCCCCTTTGCCCCACGACCACGACCCTACCGTACCATGACACGTGATACACGCCGCGGGCTTCGAGCAGGTTTTCGCCGAGCTGGTCTTAGAGCGAGACCAGCGGGGCGGCGGCGGCAGCGACAACGCCAACGACGACCTCTACAGCCTCCCCGAGATCCTGTCCGCCGTGCGGCGCGTCTGCCTCGCCCGTGCCGCCGTCCCCGTCCTCTGCGGCTCCTCCCTCCGCGGCATCGGGGTCGAGCCGCTGCTGGACTCCGTCTCGACCTTCCTGCCCTCCCCGCTGGACCGGCCGAGGCCGACCGGGGTTGTGCGGGAGCCGGCGTCGAGAAGCGGCGGTGGCGGCGGCGGTAGCAAGAAGAGGAGGAGGGGGGAGGGTGCCGGTGTTCGGGCCGCCGGCGGCGCGGAGGCGGCGGGGACGGAAGAGGGAGGGGCGATTTTTGAGGTGGACCCTCTGCAGGACGACCTGGTCGCTTTCGTTTTCAAGGTGCGGTGGGTGGAGTTGGGCGTTTTTGAGTTCTTCTTCGGCTGTGTTGGGGGGTTGGGGGAGCAAGGCTGGATTGTGTCTGTCGGGTTGGCTTGCCAGTCGCCGCAAAGGAGGTGTCAACCACATCAACGCCAACGCAAGACCAAAGCAAGAGCGGCTCTTTTCTGTCGCCATCCTCTGGGCAGCCATCCTCTCCGCTCTTCTTGCCCTCCCTCGCTGCATCTGCCATCGGCCTTTTTTCTCGAGTGTTTCTGATGCACGTGCGCTCTGCCCGCTGTCGTGTTTCTTGTTACGCTTTTTCTGCCTTGTCGATCGTGGGGAAGAGAAGGTTACGCACGACAAGCAGAGAGGCCTCCTTTCGTTCTTCAGGGTGTACTCTGGGGCCCTCGAGGCTAAGGTTTCCATGTATAACGCCACGAGAGGAGCAGAGGAACGACCGCTCCAGGTGCAGTTATTTATCTCTCGGGGTTTGGGGGAGCAAGGGCGGCGGCTTGTTGAGGCGAAAAGTTATCATCAGTTTGTCGGCTGCTTCTCCCAGAACACTTGGGGACCGAACGAGAGCCCGGTCACCACAGCCTCATACACTGGCCTGCACACGCACCCTCCACCACCCAGCAGCCTTCTCCCGTTCACCGCAGCTTCATACACTGGCCTGCACATGAACCTCTCACACCCAGCTGCCTTCCCCCCTGCCGCCACCAACCTCTCTGAAATACAATTTCGCAAAAAATGGCCCCCCCGATCGACGCCGCCGCTGTTACGCACAGGTCCTCCGAGTCGAGGCCGACGACCTGCGGATGGTCGACTCCGTATCCTCGGGCGACGTGGCGGTGGCGGTGGGACTGCCGCACGCAGCCACCGGTGACACTCTCGTCGCCCTGCGGGGAGGGCTGAGGGGCCTGCAGCTGGACGGAGTCGCGGTGCCCCCTCCGGTCTTTTCCTTGGCGGTTGAGGCGGAGTCGTCCAGCCAGCAGGCGAGGGGGCGGGGGGGGGTAGGGGGGGAGTGGCCCCGGGTTCGTGTTGGGGTTTGTGGTTGTGGTTGTGGTTGTGTTGACGGCAGAAGAATACGTTTGATCATTGACATCCGGTGCCTCCTGCACCGTGCTGATCCAAGCCGTGAGTACGACGAAGTTCGGGCGTCGCGAACCAACCCAAAGTGAGTGAAAAACTTGAAATAAGCAGCTCCCGAATGATGCGTTGCCGCTCTATCGAAAGAAATGAAGGGAAAGGAACCAACGATGTAGCTATATGTGGTGTTGGTTGGCTCGCTCAAACCCCGCTGAAGCACCCTAATCGTTTGCAGCCGCAGCAGCGATCAGACTCCATGCGTGAGTTGTAGCTCCGGGACGTCATCTCCCCAACAACAACAATGCACACACATCCGTAGCGCCGGACCCTGTCTTTTTGAGAGACGTTTCTGATTTTTTTGTTCCTTCCCGTTCTACCTCCCCCCCCCCCGCCT